TACTTTATCCACGTGTTCACCATAGGTCTACTTTGATTAATTTTTTTGTCGTTCTATACAATGCTATATGCCCGAGCCCGGTGAGGTGTAAATCCTCAGGGGCACCCAACGACAATATAGTTCAAAACCACTTAAACATAGCATTGTTAAACGTATTTTAGTATTTAAAAGGTAGATATAGGCATACCGTGTAGCATGAAAATTTTGCGGGAGTTTTATTTTGCGAATTGGCGATTTTTTGAGGTTTGCGGGAACAATTTTTTGCGGTTCGAGATGACTGAACTTTCTGGTGGAAACTAATTTTTGCGATTCTCTGTTCAAGTAGTAGAATATTTAAGTGGAAGAAACCTTAATATGGTATTTTCAACTTTTATTTTAGGGTATGTTGAGTCAAAGTTCACTCTACTTACATATTTAATGCATCGGAGAATAATACGGTAATCACTGTAATATATCACTGCACAAAGGGACTGAACAACAGCAAAACAAAACAAAAGCCTATCCCTACCATACACAACAAGTCCATTAAAAGCAGAGTTTTTAATTTGACTGAAGGGAGTTAATTTTTGCGGCGTCTTATTTAATTAATTTTGAGCAATTGTAAGAGCAATAGTAGCACGTCTGTCTACACGCTATCTTTACAACACGTCTCCAAAAGTCCGCAGTCATCGTCGTTTATGCAGAACGTAGCACTTGCAAAGTAAAGCCAGCAGGCGAAAACGAAAGCGACTTCCTTGACAGCCATGAGCGGATTAAAGCGCAAGATGAAAGAATGAGGAGCCAATGAATAAATTAACAAGGATAATATGAACAAAACTGGAGCAGTGCAAACAGCATAGCTGACGCCACTTTTAAGCCAATAGGTCAATGCCTATGATTTTCAAAAGCTTGTGTGTAGAGTATTTTACTCGTCTGTCAAGGCCCTTAGGCGCCTTATCCATTGTCTGAATGCGCTAGCATAATTTCTGGCATAATTTGTCAAACTAGAGACGTTACTAAGGTAAAAAGGGCTTCACTACAGTAAATATTCGTAACACTTTACTGTAGTAAACCTGACAGGCCCACTTGAAAACGTATTTGAAGCTTTACATGCGTTTTTTTTTGCGTGATAACGTGAGCAAATGATGGCGTGTCATGAGAGCTCTTGTGGCTCAAAGCATTTGTTTACTAATGCAAAAACCCAATTAGAATGAGTTCATTTTTATCCGCTCGATCAATTCCCAGTGTATTAAATTATACTCTTGAAAAAATGCTACAGATATTAAACTAAACAAACCTTTCTTATCTTGGTTTAGTTTAGATAATTTACCCATGCTCAATGGTCATGCGATTCAAGAAAATTTCAGATGCGCTAAAGTTTTTCGCTTTCGAACCGGACCACTTTTTAAACCGTTTTCCTCAAAAATGATTTTTGGTAAACTCGAGGTCATCTTTGTTCTTTCCGCCGTAGTCATGGAAATTAACCAGAGTAACCGCACTGGAGTCTATGAGTTTGCAACGACAACATTCTCGACCTGAATGAATGGCAATTTTTTATGAACCAACCTGTCAGTGAATGCTCAAACTTGTACTTAAAGACGTCTCACCAACCGCATTGTTTGATAATATGCAGGTTATTTTGTGTTTGATTCGTGAGCAGGATTCAATAAGCTTGACAACCAATAAACATTTCCATCCAGGGGCTATAAAGGGAAGGGAAGTCTGGGGTGGGTACTCAATCATCACGCATTACCCCCTCCTCTCTAGTCTCCTACGCAGCCGTTTGTGTCGATCTTCACGCAGGTCGACGACACAAAAAAAAGCTGCGTAAGTGAACACTTTCTCTCTACCGCTCATCATGTCCCCTTGAAACTGTTACTCCTTTCGGTTTGAAAAACCGATCCCCTGTATGGAATTAAGAAAAAAATTGAGCAACTGTATAATATCAGGAGCCTTTAATCTTGATAACATAAACTGACAAAGTTTCGTCCATTTAAGGTTCCTAAGATTCGTTTAGACCTCTGGTAAAAATTCATCTTCAAAAATTAGGGGTGGTCCACGGGGGCGAGTCTATGGACCGGGTCCACGAGGAGGTCCATGGCCTAAGTCCACAGAGGTGGTCTATGTACTAAGGGTCCATGTTCTGTATACGTCCCAAGATTGCAGGCCAAGGTTGGTACTGGGCCACGAAACAATAAATCTTATCAAAGAAAGTCGCAAACCTTGACGAAAAGTTCGTTAGCGATCTACCTGGTGGTTTAATTCTCGCTAAAACTCCTAGTAGAATGACGACGGCTACCACGTTTTCCCGCCAACATGACGCTGGTTTTCACGCGAGCACTATACTATTGAAAAAATCTCGAACTCGTAGTCCTCGTCTTACAAGCTAAAGCTCTCTACTTTCAGCGGATGGACGGGAGCAATAATTAAATGCATCTGGGCCGAGCTTTCTGGGCTACAATAACAAAACAACGCATGCACAGCAGTCGTTCACACAAGTCAGCAAGCTGCGGAGAACATTTTAGTCCATTTGTACGAACACTTTCACGTCTTAGGTAAGCTAAGGTTTGAATAAGCACAACCCAAAACCCGGCTTGGCCAGGACAAGCCGCTGCTTAAGCTACCGGTAGATTGAATAAACCGTAAACATTTTTTCGAGGTGTTCGAAAAAGAAAAGCATGTGTACACAGGCTATTGTCAGAGGTCAACTTTGACTTAATAAAACAAAAGCAAAAATTAAAGAGGGACTATTAATATTGCCTTTCCGGTATCACCCAGCGGTACAAGATCTTAAAAGAAATTAATGGCAAACTGGAGTCTAAAATAGAAAATCAGCCTCTGCTGAAAACAATTTTTGGGACCTCCGATCATATCAGAAAAGACATGCTTGTAAGAGCAAAATTGTAACTTGAAGGCAGTTGATAATGTGACACAACCACAAAAACCACATTGGGAGCCCGTGCAGGTTTGTCTTTGACGGCCTTCCAAATTGGAAAAACCGAAATCCACATCGGTCACCAAAATCCGAAAAACCGCGTTGCTTTTGCCAAAAAATCGAAAATCAGATGCTAAAAAAGGGGAAAACCGGAAACCACAACGGACAACAAAACCGAAAAACCGAAGTTTTTCATTGCAAAAACCGAAAAACCGACCTAGAAAATTGCCAAAACCGTAAAACCGAAAATCCCAACGCCCCCCCTCCTGTACCCTTGAGTCAACCCATTCCCGTAAAGAATTATTTTTAGAACAGGCTTCCCCGCGAAATTAAGGCAATTATTGCAAGACAATGGTTCTTGTTCTTGATAGAGTACGAAAATGACTCATTTAACACTGATCGGTTGAGCCGAGATCGCGGGAAGCTGGCGAACACTCCTTCTAGTGTATATGTTGTAGTTAAATTTTTATCTCACTTAATTTTTGTTTTTCCATTGTTTTTAGGTATGGTAATGTATGCAAATGAATTTAAAACAAAGGAAAAATAATTATTAACTCAAATAAAAACTTAACTGCAACATATACTCAACAAAATTTTATGGGGAAATACGACGTGGGCCAAGCCACTAGTACCGGTAACACGGGTCACCTCCGTATAAGAAGTCCATTACACTGAATGGCCCGAGATGTGCCTTTCGTAGTGGTTTTCGTAGTCAGTTTTGCATGTTTTTTTTTTCAGCTGTTTTAGTACACCCCTGTTTGTTATTTCTGTTCAAATTAAAGAAAAGGCTGATCGGACAGCTATGGATGGGTAATTATGGCATGGTTGTCCGATAAGCCTTCCCTTTAATTTAAAGTTTTAATGAAAGATGACAAGGTTTGAGTGGACGACTATATGCATTTCGGTGAAAGGTTTGAACCCAGGAGTCATTTCAAAAGTAGGTTGATTTTGATTGTCCGGGTGAACGTAGTCCTGAATAGGACTGTTGTTGTTGACAGTGACTGACGCTTCGACAACCTGTGCGGTAGTCATCTTCAGAGTCAAAGTGAGTTGTATCACGTCAGTTGATAGTATTATACTCTGGTTATTGATCTGATTGGTCAATTACGTCGCGATGTTTTTGGTCGTCCGTCAGTTAAGCCGTGATGTTATTGGCTATGAAGACCCCTAATCAGTAATTGGTGCGTTTCGATCCGTCTTTTGTCACAGTTAAACAGTCCTCTATTGTTAGTCAAATTGTCAGTTCTCCAGTCGTTCTCTCCTAGTTAGTTTTGCTTGATCTCGTCAATAAGTCGTTTGTACGGTGCTGGTAACTGTTGGCTACGATTCAGTGGCGTTGGTTCTAAGTTAGTAAACCAGCTTTCTTAAGTAAGACGTTGATAGTAGTCTGTAGAATACGTTATACATGTCGTAGAGTCCCAGTCAATTTGATGTTTCTTCTGTAAATGGTGTCCAGAAATGTGATTGTCGACGTCACCATTCCTCGTCGTGCATTTTTGGAAGTTGAAGTCATGTTTTTCTACGAATTACACAAATAATGCATTGAACGCGAAACATTTTTTAAAACGTTTTATTTTAATTCACCTAGAGATTACTTTTCAATCAATGTGACCCAGCACTATGCACTGGGTGTTCAAAGTACAACACCAAGAATTTTGAAAATCAGCGCTTCTAGAGACATAGAATTGCCTTATAAAAATATATAATACATCAATCACCAAGAACTTGAAGTATGCAAATAGCATTTGACTTTTAAAGTCTTTGTGCGCCAAAAATTTAAGTTGACATCCGACGCTAGATAAAGAAGGTAAGTTGTACAATCCAAAATATCGGCCAATAAGCCAACTCTTTGCTGCGGTGTCAACATTACGGCATGCAACAGGAGCGGCTCCTGATGTAATCATTTGACTGCTCTGATAATCTGGCCTCTAACAGGTAAAATCACATGACAGTATACTAAAAACGCATTAGTTTCTTATTCAAAATGTTAAACTTCTCACACTAAACGTAAAGCGATCTACTACTTGAATAGTTTTGTATGGCTCTCCGAAGGAGGATATGAAGGCACTCCAGAGGCCTGGAAAATTTAAGATGCTGCAACTGGAGGTGGATAGTATCCTGCGGGTGGCGGGTTGTATCCCGCGGGTGGAGGCATGTATACCGGGGGTGGAGGATTGTATCCCCCATATGGCGGCGGCTGAATAGTTTGTTGTGTTGACTGAGTTGTTGCAATGAATCCGCCCATAGGTTGTGCGACTACAACTGTTCCCGGGTGGCGGGTACGATAATATGGACAGCAAGCACAGCAGCAGCAAGCCACGATGGAAATCACAATAGCGGCGATAACCAAACAGCTGATGACAATACCTGCAACGGCTGCGCTAGTGAGGCTATGAGTACAAACCAGCTTACAGGTGTCATCCGAATCGCAACACTCATCAGAATCACACTGCGAACTGTACGAGCAAGAGTCGCAGTTTTTTCTACACTTGCCATCCGAGCATTTCTTCTGACAGTCGCCACTCCAACAGCATTCTCCAGTTCCACACTGGTAATTGAAAGAGCAATAGTCGCACTTCTGTCTACAAACGCTATCTTTACAACACTTCTCCAAAAATCCGCAGTCATCGTTGTTTATGCAGAACGTAGCACTTGCAAGGTAAAGCCAGCAGGCGAAAACGAAAGCGACTTCCTTGACAGCCATGAGTGGATTAAGGCGCAAGATAAAAGAATGAAGAGCCAATGAATAAATTAACAAGGATAATATGAACAGTACTGGAGCAGTGCCAAACAGCGCAGCTGACGCAAGTTTTAAGCCAAGGTCAATGCCTATGAAGAAAGCTTGTGTGTACTGAGTATTGTACTCGTCTGTCAAGGCCCTTAGGCGCCTTATCCATTGTCTGAATGCGCTAGCATAATTTCTGGCACAATTTGTCAAACAAGAGACGTTACTAAAGTAAAAAGGGCTTCACTACAGTAAATATTCGTAACACCTTACTGTAGGAAACCTGACTGGCACACTTGAAAACGTATTTGAAGCCTTACATGCGTTTTTTTTTTTCGCGTGATAACGTGAGCAAATGATGGCGTGTCATGAGAGCTATTGTAGCTCCAAGCCGGCTCCAAGCATTTGTTTACTTATGAAAAAACCCAATTAGAATGAGTTCATTTTTATCCGCTCGACCGGTTCCCATTGTATTAAATTAAACTCTTTAAAAAATGCAACAGATAATTAACCAAACAAACCCTTCCTTATCTTAAGGACTCTGCCATGTTTTAATAGTCCATGTCGCTCTTTGGTTTAGTTTGGATAATTTAACTATGCTCAATGGTCACACGATTCAAGAAAATTTCAGATGCGCTTAAGTTTTTCTCTTTCGAACTGGACTACTTTTTAAATCGTTTTCCTCAAAATGAGTTTTGGTAAACTCGAGGCCATCTTTGTTATTTCCGCCGTAGTCATGGAAATTAACCAGAGTAACCGCACTGGAGTCTATGAGTTTGCAACGACAACATTCTCGACCTGAATGAATGGCAATTTTTTATGAACCAACCTGTCAGTGAATGCTCAAACTTGTAAGAGGTCTCACCAACCGCATCGTTTGATGATATGCAGGTCATTTTGTGTTTGATTCGTGAGCAGGATTCAGGCTTATTTTCTCTCGTATAAACGTACGGTCCTCATGAGTGACTCAGGATTCTTTCGAAACAGCTGCTAAAGAACTCGCGTAATTTTTGGTTACCCAAGATGGTGACCTCGCGCTGGTTAAAATTGTTGGGGCTTTATAGTTGTCAGTCAGTTTTTGTTGTTTTGTTTGTTTACCTTTTTACATTGATGGTGCCGAGCCAGGGAATTTATGATGAATTATGTACTCACGGTTAAGTTTCCAGATTTTAAAATAGGGTAAATGAGTTTGTAACAAAATTGAAGATGAAACTCACTTTTTATTAGATTGCCTCAGTTTTTCTTCGATAAAAGATGTTCTTCTCTAAACTAGAATCTAAAATACCGTTTCTACAACTACAATCACATGAGACCTTATTATTACATCTGATGAATTCTACTGATAACCTACTTATCTCCAGAATAATTAATTCTACTGATGGTTAAAAATAGGCAATGATTAATGTGTTTCAAATTGTTTTAAATATGATTTAAAAGGAATCAATGATTAATTTCAAGTAGCTTTTGCAATACTGTAATACTTTGTTATAGTCATGCAAATACAGCTTTTTGTTGCTGTTGCCATTTACATGTGTATTAGCCATTTTAAAGGATACAAATTTTGTTTCAAATAAAAAGCATGCCAACCCTTTCTATCTACAAACACGACTTAACAACTTCTGTTTAAAAAAGTTTACCAAGCCGTTGTTGAGACGAGACACTTCCAGCTAGTGTAGGAATGTTTAAACAAATGTTCAAACTTTCGACTTCCATCTACTGTGCACGCCAAAACAGCGAAATAAGTTTGTTGGATAGTCCGGTTCGTATTTTGAGTTTACCTAGTCCCTAGGCCTCATTATCCCGCGCGGACAATTCGGCGTGGTCCAAGCGCCGTACATAGGGGACAATGCAAGCATCTAGTTATACGGTATCTAAAACATCGGCCAATAAACTCAGCTCTTCACCTCAGAATCAACCATACAATCAATCGATCTGATAATCCTGTATAATTAGTGAAACAGCAGCATAGTAACAAAGCCCTAGTTTTTTCAAGAGCATTCATGGATTAGCCCATAAGAATTTATTTGGACGTCTACAAGCCTAATACTGATCACTGCGCTCCTCAACTGGTGTAATTAGACTGGACCTGCCTCTGTATAATATGAAGTCTTAAATTATGGACTGAGGTCCTTTTCTGTTGGAGGTCTTAAGCTGTGGAACGAACTTTCATCTGAATTACGCGCAATAGATAGTATAAGTATTGTTGGGGCTAGGCTGAAAACACATATTTTTAAGGCATATGTTAATTCATTGTTGTTAGTCAGTTTTATCTTTTTATATTTCATCAACTTTTCTTTTGTGAAGTGTTAAAACCAGTAACATAAGGTTGAGGATTGTGAAGCGCTTAGAACAATTTGTATAAGCAATATAGAAATGTTAGTTATTATTACTTATTATTATTCAGAACGTTAACTTTTCATGCTAAACATGCAAAAAGGGTTGGTCATTTAAACGAAGTCTAACTTAGACTGCGGTTTAGGAAATCTTTGGACCTCCATATCTCTTTCTTAATGGGTTATTTTATGAACACAAATGCTCTTCAAGTCTACGCTATAATGCTTTCATGAAACTGTTCACGATAAATGTTGTTTACATAACGCGTTCGGCGAACCGAAAATGGCTTAGAACGCGGTTTTGTTAGACACTGACTAAACTCCGTTGAAATAACTGGCCCAGACTATTCTACTATTGAATGGTTCTCCAGTGTTACGGGGGAGACCAGGGGAGGAAAATAAGGAGATGAGGGTTAATTGTAAGCTCCAACTGGACGCGAGTTGTATCCCAAGGGTGATAGGTTGTATCCCGCGGGTGACAGGTTGTATCCCGCTGGAAGAGGGCTGCATCCCGCGGGCTTAGGGGTGTATCCTAAGAAGGGCGGCTGCAGAATGGTCTGTTGCGTTGTAACTGTTGCAGTGATTCCGCCCGATGGTTGTGCGACTACAACTCTTCCCGGATGACGGTGACGATAATAAGGACAACAAGCACAGCAGCAGCAAGCCACGATGGAAATCACAATGGCGGCGACCACTAAACAGGCGATAACAATCCCTGCAGTTGCTGCCTCAGTGAGGCTGGAATGAGAACAGAAGAGTTTACAGGTGTTATCTGAGTCACAACACTCATCAGAATCGCATTGCGAACTGGACGAGCAAGAGTCGCAGTTTTCTCTACATCCACCATCTGAGCATTTCTTAATACAGTCGCTATTTTTACAGCATTCACCAGTGTCACACTGTGAACTGTACGAGCAAAAATAGCAGGTTTCTCTACAGCCACCGTCGTCACATTTCTTGTTACATTTACCATCCTTGCAACATTCACCAGTGTCGCATTGAGAACTGTACGAGCAATAGGTGCAGTTTTCTCTACAGCCCCAATCGTCACATTTCTTCTTACATTTACCATTTTTGCAGCATTCCAAAAAGTCACATTGAGAACTGTACGAGCAATAAGTGCAGTTTTCTCTACATCCACCATCTGGGCACGTCTTCCGGCAGACATTATTCTTGCAGCACTTTCCGATATCACATTCCAAAAGGGACGAGCAATAGCTGCAGTTCTTTGAACAACCAAGATTTCTGCAGCATTCTCCAGTACCACACTGGAAATTGAACGAACATCCAGAGCATTTTTGTCTACACACATTGTCCGAGCAGCAGCTCTCGACAAACCCGCAGTCAGATTTGTGAGAGCAGGAAGTGGCACTTGCCAAATGAAGAAAATAGGCAAAAGCGAAAGCGACTTCCTTCTTGATCGCCATTCTTTCAGCGTCTGTTTCACTATGTAATTTAACGGGCAAGGGATGGCGGGAAGGAATAAAGAGAAAGGAAGTACGTAGTTTCCATTTTCACGACTCGTCACGCCATTCACGTTCAAAGAGCTGGGATCCTTTGGTCAGCGCCGCGTACAGCCTTCGCATGCGCAGAGAGAGACTCGCCAAGAACTCACCCTCCCTTTCCCAAACTTCGCTCGGACAGTCGGAGGAGGAAATTTGCGACTTGCACTTTCCCCGTAATGATGAAATTTGTTGTCTTCGTAAAATTTTGCATAAGCATTGTTTTCAATTTCTATTGGGACTAATAATCGTCCCTTGAGAAATTGAAAACAAATGTTATCCAAAATTTTGTAGTCTTGCCTGTATTCAGTATGTAATGACAATTGGCCACTTTAGAACTAGAAGGGACTTGTAGCCAAAATACGTCCTGCAATTGTTTCTGAATATAGGCCCCTCTAGAAATAAGCCCCTCAAAAAGGGCCTTTGAAATATATAAGCCCGGGGGCTTATTTTCGGAATTTTACGGCATACCTCACTGATACCTCTTGTTCACTTTAAGTTTGTGATGTAATATGACAAAAATGAAGTTAAGGAATTCGAATGTATTTATTAACCAGAGCCAACACAAGGTTTAATGACGAATATAATGATACAAAACGTGCTTTCCCTTTTTAGATAAAGTAATAACAAAATAAACTAACGTAGATCTACCCTTACAAGGACTCTCTAAAGGTGTTACTGACCCCACTTACAAGAGGGAAGAGATATAAAAAGGCGCGGGTTGTGATGTCCAAGAATGGCACAATTGCTGGTTTTCAGTGTCACGCCATTCAAAATAGATCAAAACAAAAATCAAAACCATTCAATGGATAAAGTCCAGAATCTGGGAAATGAAAGGAGGTAAATATACAAAGACTCCCGCCAAGATTTTGGTCGAAGGAATGGGCGGAGGATTGTATCCCGAGGGTGGAGGCATGTATCCAGGGGGTGGAGGATTGTATCCCCCATATGGCGGCTGCTGAATAGTTTGTTGTGTTGGCTGAGTTGTTGCAATGAATCCGCCCATAGGTTGTGTAACTACAACTGTTCCCGGGTGGCGGGTACGATAATACGGACAGCAAGCACAGCAGCAGAAAGCCACGATAGAAATCACAATGGCGGCGACAGCCAAACAGCTGATGACAATACCCGCAACGGCTGCGCTAGTGAGGCTATGAGTACAAACCAGCTTACAGGTGTCATCCGAATCGCAACACTCATTAGAATCACACTGCCAACTGGACGAGCAAGAGTCGCAGTTTTTTCTACACTTGCCATCCGAGCATTTCTTCTGACAGTCGCCACTCTAACAGCATTCTCCAGTTCCACACTGGTAATTGAAAGAGCAATAGTAGCACGTCTGTCTACAAACGCTACCTTTACAACACGTCTCCAAAAGTCCGCAGTTATCGTCGTTTATGCAGAACGTAGCACTTGCAACGTAAAGCCAGGAGGCGAAAACGAAAGCGACTTCCTTGACAGCCATGAGTGGATTAAGGCGCAAGATAAAAGAATGAAGAGCCAATGAATAAATTAACAAGGATAATATGAACAGTACTGGAGCAGTGCCAAACAGCGCAGCTTATGGAAATCACAATGGCGGCGACCACTAAACAGGCGATAACAATCCCTGCAGTTGCTGCCTCAGTGAGGCTGGAATGAGAACAGAAGAGTTTACAGGTGTTATCTGAGTCACAACACTCATCAGAATCGCATTGCGAACTGGACGAGCAAGAGTCGCAGTTTTCTCTACATCCACCATCTGAGCATTTCTTAATACAGTCGCTATTTTTACAGCATTCACCAGTGTCACACTGTGAACTGTACGAGCAAAAATAGCAGGTTTCTCTACAGCCACCGTCGTCACATTTCTTGTTACATTTACCATCCTTGCAACATTCACCAGTGTCGCATTGAGAACTGTACGAGCAATAGGTGCAGTTTTCTCTACAGCCCCAATCGTCACATTTCTTCTTACATTTACCATTTTTGCAGCATTCCAAAAAGTCACATTGAGAACTGTACGAGCAATAAGTGCAGTTTTCTCTACATCCACCATCTGGGCACGTCTTCCGGCAGACATTATTCTTGCAGCACTTTCCGATATCACATTCCAAAAGGGACGAGCAATAGCTGCAGTTCTTTGAACAACCAAGATTTCTGCAGCATTCTCCAGTACCACACTGGAAATTGAACGAACATCCAGAGCATTTTTGTCTACACACATTGTCCGAGCAGCAGCTCTCGACAAACCCGCAGTCAGATTTGTGAGAGCAGGAAGTGGCACTTGCCAAATGAAGAAAATAGGCAAAAGCGAAAGCGACTTCCTTCTTGATCGCCATTCTTTCAGCGTCTGTTTCACTATGTAATTTAACGGGCAAGGGATGGCGGGAAGGAATAAAGAGAAAGGAAGTACGTAGTTTCCATTTTCACGACTCGTCACGCCATTCACGTTCAAAGAGCTGGGATCCTTTGGTCAGCGCCGCGTACAGCCTTCGCATGCGCAGAGAGAGACTCGCCAAGAACTCACCCTCCCTTTCCCAAACTTCGCTCGGACAGTCGGAGGAGGAAATTTGCGACTTGCACTTTCCCCGTAATGATGAAATTTGTTGTCTTCGTAAAATTTTGCATAAGCATTGTTTTCAATTTCTATTGGGACTAATAATCGTCCCTTGAGAAATTGAAAACAAATGTTATCCAAAATTTTGTAGTCTTGCCTGTATTCAGTATGTAATGACAATTGGCCACTTTAGAACTAGAAGGGACTTGTAGCCAAAATACGTCCTGCAATTGTTTCTGAATATAGGCCCCTCTAGAAATAAGCCCCTCAAAAAGGGCCTTTGAAATATATAAGCCCGGGGGCTTATTTTCGGAATTTTACGGCATACCTCACTGATACCTCTTGTTCACTTTAAGTTTGTGATGTAATATGACAAAAATGAAGTTAAGGAATTCGAATGTATTTATTAACCAGAGCCAACACAAGGTTTAATGACGAATATAATGATACAAAACGTGCTTTCCCTTTTTAGATAAAGTAATAACAAAATAAACTAACGTAGATCTACCCTTACAAGGACTCTCTAAAGGTGTTACTGACCCCACTTACAAGAGGGAAGAGATATAAAAAGGCGCGGGTTGTGATGTCCAAGAATGGCACAATTGCTGGTTTTCAGTGTCACGCCATTCAAAATAGATCAAAACAAAAATCAAAACCATTCAATGGATAAAGTCCAGAATCTGGGAAATGAAAGGAGGTAAATATACAAAGACTCCCGCCAAGATTTTGGTCGAAGGAATGGGCGGAGGATTGTATCCCGAGGGTGGAGGCATGTATCCAGGGGGTGGAGGATTGTATCCCCCATATGGCGGCTGCTGAATAGTTTGTTGTGTTGGCTGAGTTGTTGCAATGAATCCGCCCATAGGTTGTGTAACTACAACTGTTCCCGGGTGGCGGGTACGATAATACGGACAGCAAGCACAGCAGCAGAAAGCCACGATAGAAATCACAATGGCGGCGACAGCCAAACAGCTGATGACAATACCCGCAACGGCTGCGCTAGTGAGGCTATGAGTACAAACCAGCTTACAGGTGTCATCCGAATCGCAACACTCATTAGAATCACACTGCCAACTGGACGAGCAAGAGTCGCAGTTTTTTCTACACTTGCCATCCGAGCATTTCTTCTGACAGTCGCCACTCTAACAGCATTCTCCAGTTCCACACTGGTAATTGAAAGAGCAATAGTAGCACGTCTGTCTACAAACGCTACCTTTACAACACGTCTCCAAAAGTCCGCAGTTATCGTCGTTTATGCAGAACGTAGCACTTGCAACGTAAAGCCAGGAGGCGAAAACGAAAGCGACTTCCTTGACAGCCATGAGTGGATTAAGGCGCAAGATAAAAGAATGAAGAGCCAATGAATAAATTAACAAGGATAATATGAACAGTACTGGAGCAGTGCCAAACAGCGCAGCTGACGCAACTTTTAAGCCAAGGTCAATGCCTATGAAAAAAGCTTGTGTGTACTGAGTATTGTACTCGTCTGTTATGGCCCTTAGGCGCCTTATCCGCTGTCTGAATGCGCTAGCATAATTTCTGGCATAATTTGTCAAACTAGAGACTTTACTAAGGTAAAAGGGCTTCACTACAATAAATATTCGTAACACTTCACTGTAGTAAACCTGACTGGCCCACTTGAAAACGTATTTGAAACTTTACATGCGTTTTTTTTTTTTCCGCGTGATAACGTGAGCAAATGATGGCGCAAAAACCCAACTGGAATGAGTTCATTTTTATCCGCTCGATCGGTTCCCATTGTATTAAATTTAACTCTTTGAAAAATGCTACAGATAATTAACCAAACAAACCCTTCCTTATCTTAAAGACTCTGCCATGTTTTAAAAGTCCATGTCGCTCTTTGGTTTAGTTTAGATAATTTAACTATGCTTAATGGTCACGCGATTCAAGAAAATTTCAGATGCACTAAAGTTTTTCTCTTTCGAACGGAACTACTTTTTAAACCGTTTTCCTCAAAAATGAATTTTGATAAACCCGAGGTCATCTTTGTTCTTTCCGCCGTAGTCATGGAAATTAACCAGAGTAACCGCACTGGAGTCTATGAGTTTGCAACGACAACATTCTCGACCTGAATGAATGGCAATTTTTTATGAACCAACCTGTCAGTGAATGCTCAAACTTGTAAGACGTCTCACCAAACGCACTGTTTGATAATATGCAGGTCATTTTGTGTTTGATTGTTGAGCAGGATTCAATAAGCTTGCCAACCAATAAATATTTCCATTCAGGGGCTATAAAGGGAAGGGAAGTCTGGGGTGGGTACTCAATCATCATGCATTACCCCTCCCTCCCTAGTCTCCTAGTCTACGCAGCCGTTTGTGTCGATCTTCAAACAGGTCGACGACACAAAAAAAAAGTTGCGTAAGTGAACACTTTCTCTCTACCGCTCATCATGTCCCCTTCAAATTGTTATTCCTTTCAGTTTTAAAAACTGAACCCATGTATGGAATTCAGAAAAAATTGAGCAAGTGTATAATATCAGGAGCCTTTAATCTTGATAACATAAACTGACAAAGTTTCGTCCATTTAAGGTTCCTAAAATTCATTTAGACATCTGGTAAAAATTCATCTTCAAAAACTAGGGGTAGTCCACGAGGGTAGTCCATGGACCGGGTCCACGAAGAGGTCCATGGCCTAAGTCCACAGAGGTGGTCTATGTACCAGGGTCAATGTTCTGTATACGTCCCAAGATTGCAGGCCAAGGTTGGTACTGGGCCTCAAAAAAATAAATTTTATCAAAGAAAGTAGCAAACCTTGACGACAAGTTCGTTAGCGATCTACCTGGTGGTTTAATTCTCGCTAAAACTCCTAGTAGAATGACGACGGCTACCACGTTTTCCCGCCAACATGACGCTGGTTTTCACGCGAGCACTATACTATTGAAAAAATCTCGAACTCGTAGTCCTCGTCTTACAAGCTAAAGCTCTCTACTTTCAGCGGATGGACAGGAGCAATAATTAAATGCATCTAGGCTGAGCTTTCTGGGCTACAATAACAAAACAACGCATGCACAGCAGTCGTTCACACAAGTCAGCAAGCTGCCGACAACGTTTTAGTCCATTTGTACGAACACTTTCACGTCTTAGGTAAGCTGAGGTTTAAATAAGCACAACCCAAAACCCGGCTCGGCTAGGACAAGCCGCTGCTTAAGCTAAAGGTGGATTGAATAAATCGTAAACATTTTTACGAGGTGTTCGCGTAGTTTTGCAAGGCGCGACCAGAGTACGCCACGGCTTATTTTCTCTCGTATAAACGTACGGTCCTCATGAAGTGAGTTATAAGGATTCTTTCGAAACAGCTGCTATAAGAACTCGTGTAATTTAGCTTCGTTACCCAAGATGGTGACCGCGCGCTGGTGGTTTTAAAATTGTTGGGGTTTTATAGTTGTCAGTCAGTTTTTGTTTTTTCGTTAGTTTACCTTTTTACATTGACGGTGCCGAGCCAGGGAATTCATTATGACGAATTATGTACTCACGGCAAAGTTTCTAGATTTAAATAGGGTAAATGAGTTGTAACAGAATTGAAGATGAAACTCACCTTTTATTAGATTGTCTCAGTTTTTCTTGGATAAGAGAGATGTTCTTCTCTAAACTAGAACCTAAAATACCGTTTCTACAACTACAATCACAAGAGACCTTATTATCACATCTGATGAATTCTACTGACTACCATAGTTTTATTAACATCGAATTAATTTCATTTATATCATCTTGCATTGAATTGAGAGAGAAACTTATCTCCGGAATAATTAATTCTACTGATGGTTAAAAATATGCAATGATTAATATGTTTCAAATTGTTTTAAATATAATTTAAAAGGAATCAATGATTTATTTCAAGTAGCTTTTGCAATACTGTAAAACTTTGTTATAGTCATGCAAATAAAGCTTACACAAATTTTGTTTCAAATAACAAATTAAAAAGAAACATGCCAACCCTAATCCTTAACTACTTTTGGTGAAAAAAGGTTACAAGCCGTTGTTGAGACGAGACACTTCCAGCTAGTGTAGGAATGTTTAAACAAATGTTCAAACTTTCGACTTCCATCTGCTGTGCACGCCAAAACAGCGAAATAAGTTTGTTGGATAGTCCGGTTCGTATTTTGAGTTTACCTAGTCCCTAGGCCTCATTATCCCGCGCGGACAATTCGGCGTGGTCCAAGCGCCGTACATAGGGGACAATGCAAGCATCTAGTTATACGGTATCTAAAACATCGGCCAATAAACTCAGCTCTTCACCTCAGAATCAACCATACAATCAATCGATCTGATAATCCTGTATAATTAGTGAAACAGCAGCATAGTAACAAAGCCCTAGTTTTTTCAAGAGCATTCATGGATTAGCCCATAAGAATTTATTTGGACGTCTACAAGCCTAATACTGATCACTGCGCTCCTCAACTGGTGTAATTAGACTGGACCTGCCTCTGTATAATATGAAGTCTTAAATTATGGACTGAGGTCCTTTTCTGTTGGAGGTCTTAAGCTGTGGAACGAACTTTCATCTGAATTACGCGCAATAGATAGTATAAGTATTGTTGGGGCTAGGCTGAAAACAAATATTTTTAAGGCATATGTTAATTCATTGTTGTTAGTCAGTTTTATCTTTTTATATTTCATCAACTTTTCTTTTGTGTAGTGTTAAAACTAGTAACATAAGGTTGAGGATTGTAAAGCGCTTAGAACAATTTTTATAAGCAATATAGAAATGTTAGTTATTATTATTTATTATTATTATTCAGAATGTCAACTTTTCATGCTAAACATGCACCAAACGGTCGTTATTTAAACGAAGTCTAACTTAGGCCGTGGTTTAAGAAATCTTTGGACCTCCATATCTCTT